CCCGCATAAATGATCTGGAAAATACAGCTCAGAACAAAGCAGCATACTGCAAGCTGTCATATACTGTACAAATAAAGTGAGTAATATAGCATCAGTCCCTCTTAAGTTATGATAATTAACAATGTTATATTACATACCTGTAAAATATTAAATTTTTGAGCTTTTGTTTACTTTTCTTATAACGCCTTGGCGCCAGTGAGAGCTGCAGCTGGAGGGCTTATGTTTTCAGGCTGTCCATCCCTCTATAAGCTTCTATTTCTCTATGAAGCCTCTTCCGGCTCTTTTGAACCAGGAACTCACAATAAGACGAAGCAGACCGCTTTAGATTTTATAAAAAATAACCGTGCTGGTTTATTCAGAGGATCACAGGTAAAATTAACATTACACGTCCAGATCTCTCTCACCATCCACCTGCGCGCAGGCAGCTTGGAAAGATCAAGATTCCTGGACAAAGAAACCTATATAATTTAATCATTTCTGGGCTAGCCCATACTACGCAGGGCGTCAAACCGTGACATCACCTGATATGCCAGCTTGCAGCTGACTATAACGTTAGTCAAAACATGAGGAAAAGTCAAGGTGTGTGGCTGTTGTTTTCGTGGTGTGTATCTAAAACAATTTGACATAACATTACACATTAAGACAAATATTAAGACTAGCATTACAGTTGACACTAACAGCTCTTTGCCTGCAACCTTGGCCTACTTGCAGTCTGCACTGCAAGCACATTACTGAACAGTTACCAGCCTGAGCTAGTCAATCTGTCTCCACTAAACATTTCTAGACAACAAATCTCTGAATATCTATCTAACTAGGAAATAACCTAACACCTCCGACCATCTGATTCAAATCAAATCAAATTTTATTTGTATAGCGCCAAATCACAACAAAAGTCATCTCAGGACACTTTACAAAGTAAGGTAAACCTTACTTTACTTAAAGGTAAACCTTACTGTTATCAATATTATTACATAGGGAAAACCCTATGAATTGGACCTAACACAGAGCCCTGTGGAATGCCGTGACTAACTTCAGTTTGTGTGGAACATTCGTCATTAACATGAACAAATTGAAATCTTTCTGATAAATAAGATTTGAACCAACTTAGCGCAGTTCCTTTAACCCCAATAACATGTTCAAGTCTCTGCAGTAAGATGCTGTGATCAATGGTGTCAAAAGCAGCACTGAGATCTAAGAGGACAAGTATGGAGACAAGTCCTTTGTCTGAGGCTAGGAGAAGCTCATTGGTGACTTTCACCAATGCGGTTTCTGTACTATGATGGACTCTAAAATCTGACTGAAAATCCTCAAACAAATCAGAGGATCACTGCAGACCCCTCACACCCTGAACACAATCTGTTTGAACTCCTCCCCTCTGGATGGCGTTACAGGTCACTGTGCACCAAGACAACCAGGCACAAGGACAGTTTCTTCCCCCAGGCCATCACTCTGATGAACACTTAACCAACGACAGTAT